TTTCTTTCTTATGTTGTTTGTAACAGCAATTAGCCCTCGGGCAAGTATTTGCAATAAACTTTCTATACGAGAGCAGATGATGTTCACAGGCCACCAAGTTCTGTTTAATACAATAACGTACAATTTCAGACAAATATACACTTGACACTCCCACTGTCATTTTAAAATCAGGCAATGTTCTAGCGACCAACAAATTTGGCTGAATCTCCTGCAATCTCGTGGAAGGAAGGGTTTAATAGATTTTAGATAGCAATGAAGCTGTGAAATAAAAGGATACTTGTCAGGCCCAGATTTTCTTACATGTACATCTATGGGAGTTTTACTTTATGATAGTATTATAGTCTGGAGTCATCTCAAGAAACTAGAATGTACTACACATCTACTGTAGATTGTCATGGCCACTTGTGCCCCCCCCCTCACAAGGCTCAAAGGTCCACTAATTTTTATCTAAGATTTTCCTTGAAAAGATGGACTGATTCGTGTCACCAGCGAGGCTGGAATCATAGAAAAACAGCTCACTTTGTCATTGAAAAAAGTTATCTCTGATTTTTTTTTTTCTTTAAAATCCTCTAAAAAATGCAGAAAATGCCATTTCAGAAGGTTCTTTTTTCAAAATTTCCTGGGGAAGCATGCCCCTGGACCCCCTAAGAACCTTGTGCCTACAGCGCTCGCTGGTCCCTCAAGCAGTGGGAAGAACCCCCCATTCAAAATCTGGCTACGGGCATGCCACTCCCTAGAGGATAGTTGATATTCCGTACATGAGCTCTTATAGGTAAAACAAGAAAAGCCCTGCCGTATAGTGTAACTACTCTGTAATTTTCTTCAATTGCAGGGCTGACTCAGTACCAAGGCCACGTCAATATTATTTCAAGGACTGAGGCCCCCACATGCATTTTATGTTTTTATGTCATTTTCATTTATTTTACCATGCAGATTGCACTCTGGCCTGTAAGGATTTTTTTAGGTGTCCCCGTGCATAAAAGCTTAATACATAAGAAATAAAACAACTTAGTAATACATAGTAAGGACATAGCATAGAGCTTAGGTTGAAAATAATTATTGCTAACTAGAAAAGTAACATTTGCAAAGCAAATGCATAAAGTTTACCTTTGGACATGGTCTGCCCTGTTAATTTTTACTCAAACATATTCACATACATGTACTACTATAGTATTTGGTGACAGGAGCAGAGCAGACCATGAAATTGCAACATTATGTAACCCAACACCAGTCACCATGGTGACAGATGTCAACAAATCATGTCATTGGCCAGGTCAGAGGTTAGTGTATGGAGAAGAAGAAGAGGAAGAGGAAATGGAGTAAAAACAATATGTTTTCCTTCGGTAAACATAAATACAAAGTCCTATTTCAGTCCGTTTTTAAAAGCCGTTGTGGTGGTAAGTTGCCTTTGCTCAGTAGAGAATTTGTTCCACAATACATGCAGGCCCTTGAAACTGCAAACTGCCTCTGAAAAGCTGCATGATAGCTTGTCTCTTATTGGTCAAAATAACTTCACTGGGAAAATTAAGTGGCCAATGATCATGAGCTAAATGTGTCCTTTCTAATCTGGTAAGAAATCAAAGTGTGAAATGAGTCTGTCTTCAGGCAAGTTGCTCTAGCTATGCGTGAGGTCCAAGTTCCATGTTCAATTATATCGTGGAAGATGGGTTCAATTTTCTACGTTGTTTCACCCTGTACCTGTTTTCTACTTGGCCTCTTTGGAAAATAAGTCTCAGAAAAGCCACGGGGCACAGAACTATATGGGGATTTGGTAAATGGGGCCATGGCTCCAAGTGTGCACAAATGTTGAGTGCTACCTCGGTTGTATAGTACAATGTAGTGGAACTATTCACGGTGGCAACAGGTGCAGGAAAAAGAAAGTCTAGGAATTATTTCTTAACTGTAATGATAAGTTCACGGTAAGTGACATTAAAAACAGTAAACATTAAAGTACCGTGAAAAAAATCAGTAATTACAGTTACTGTTTCAAACACAATATTTTATTTTATTTTATCTACAAAAACCCCCTTCTCCCTCCTGCAACTCCAAAAATAAATGAATTCACAGAAATTTCTGGGTCAAAGGATTTAGATTCAGGTTTACAATAAGCCACCAGCGCCCATGTAGGTCCTACATAGGTCTTGTCATCTCATATCCTGTTAAGCTTAAGGCTTGTCTGGCATATTGAGGTTGAAGGGCAACTGTTAGTATGGTTTTCCAATATCTGCTTGAATGCAATACCGTTAGCGAATGGCTTTGTCGCAGACTGGGTAATGGTTTATTGCACGAGATATTGATCTTAATGTCGCGACTCATGAAATAGTTTATTACAACTGACAACAAGACTTGGCGGGGGTTTTTGTTTTCATTGGAGATTTGTTTGTTTGTTTGTGTACAGATAGCTGTGGTATTAAACTTTAATATGAAAAGATTTTATCATATTTTCTGGTTATCTATGGTAATTTAGAGGTTGGATTTTTGGACCCGTGGTGTCTTCTCTTCAAAGTGCATCTTTGAGTGTAAAACCTTGTGAAGAAATATGTTTATTCTGAATCTGATTATCATCATGAAATTGTTTTGTTTTTATTGCATTATGTTTACCTTCGCAGAATTTTTTTTGCTCTGTTTCTTATTTCTCTTCTTCTTAGCCAAATACTTAAGGTCAATGACCTTAACCAGACGTCTGTCACCATGGTAACTAGTGTTGGGTTACATCATGTTGCAATTTTATAGCAGGAGGGATTTAGACTCCTATCACCATATATATGAAAGGAATGTAAGAATTAACAGAGCAGATATAAACATTATGCATTTGCTATGCAAATTTTACCTTTTTAGTTTTTTAATATTTTTTTTCGTTGAATAAAAGAAGTTAGAGTATGCTCAGCAATAACTAAAAAAATGACGTAACTGTCATTTTACATAATGATTTTGATACATATGTGGGATACATGTTAACATTATTATTCTTAAACAGTCAAAGTATATATAAGTTGGTATAATTTTTAATACTAATAGGTAACAGTGAATGGGAACTCAGTCATTCCAAATGTACATTTTTTGAGACTTCAAAAATCTTCTCTTGTATTTGATAAATAAACTATTGTTATCTTGGGAAATCAGTGACCAACTCAATATTCTTATTTGGCCAGTGTCCAATTATTGACTTTTGATTGATGATCTAATATTGCTTTTCAATTCCCTAAATCTGTCTTTTTTTGACAAATTCAAGATGAGTTTTGGAATAGATGTTTTCACTAGAACACTGAATCAAAAGAGTTACTTATTTCTTCAATTTAGAGTAACAACTTGAATGGACAAGAGTTCCGAGATCTCATACCTCCATGAAATATGGGCTTGCTTTGTCCTCCTTAATTATGCAAATAACCTCTACATTAACATAATATATGCATAGCGATGCAAACCTTTAAGTAACTTACACATGTTACGAGGTATAAAATTCCCATCATTCACCAAAAAAGATTCACAGAATTTTCACATTAATTATGCAAATTAGGTCATCATTTGCATAATTGGTATCTGTTGATGTTCCGCCTGCCACAGATTAAATAGATTACATGTATAGCAGTACCATTATATTAACCTTTGGGATCTATCTTAAACAAACTGTTGTACAGTAAGATTGAGGACTGAAGTACAGACTTTTGAAGAATTGTTTGCAATGAACTAAATGGTTTTCTGAAGTTGGAATGATTTCCCCGAGGTTTTAGACCGAAAGTCAAGACTATTAGAATCAATAAGTAATCTACTGTACACAATGTCATTGTTTCCTTGCCAAATAACTGCCAAGTTTCTGAATTCTTGTCGGGTAAAATCAAGAGGATTAAAAAAGGAGACTATATGTTATGGAATATTTCTCAATTTCTTTGTGTAGTACAGATTTCATCCTTTTTCCTCTCACTGGTAACATAACAAAAAAATACAGCTGCTTTGCATATAGTGATGCATACCTAAACCCAATTTTAGGTTCAGGTCCGGATTCAAGTCCAGAGGTTTAGGTTCAGCTCCGGACTTGTAAGTCCGGACCTAAACCCATGGCATATACAAAATTGCATGTTGGCAACCTTGCAATGCTGTCTGGGTGAAACTTTGGCCACGTAACATGGAGGCCAATACTTGATGATGCCCGATGGCAATGTTTTCTTCGTTTTGCAGCAAAGATTTTACAATCTACGGAAGGTTTTAGGTGGTTTGGAAAGAAAAGGGGTATGTGAAATGGTCTTTTATGGTAATAAGTCCGGACTCGGTTCTTGACTTTTAGGTTTTTTTTGGACTTGAACCTAAACATTCTTACAAGTCCGGATCCAAGTCCAGTGAACCGGTATGCACCACTATTTGCATAAAGTCCTTTTTTCGATATATGGGTCTGTTCAGTTTATGGTTGATTATGTCATTTCTGTACCTCTGATTTTCTTTTGTTTTATAAAACAGTTATACCGTAATTCCAAATGTTTTCTTATAAGCCTGTATGGGCTGGGTGTGCGAAGCACATGACATGTTAATAAAGCATCCCTCCCTTCCTTCCTTCCTTCCTTCCTTCCTTCCTTCCTTCCTTCCTTCCTTCCTCCCTTCATTCCTTCATTGCCTCATTCTTTCGATATACGTATAAAGGACAGTGGAGGGTTAAAAAGTGGTATGAGTTAGGGGATGAAGTCTGCCATCTCTGGTTGCCATGTTTATGTTCACAGAAGGAAAACATTCTTTTTGCTCTGTTTCTCCTTCCTCTTCTTCTTCAAACAAATAAGGTCAATGACCTGAACCAGACGTCTGTCACCATGGTAACTAGTGTTGGGTTATGTCATGTCGCAATTTTATAGCAGGAGGGATTTATTCTCCTGCCACCATATATATGAATGTGTTTGAGTAAGAATTCACAGAGCAGACCATATACGAAGGTAAACATAAATGCATTTGCTTTGCGAATGTTACGTTTCTAGTTTTTAGCTTTCTTTGTAAAATTTTCACTTTTGGATTTGCAGACACCGCCCAGAAGTCCGACGGTTCCGTTGACGGGAGGTCGGTACGAGAAACGCTGGACGAACATTCTGACCATCCCGCTGGCCATGGCAGCACTGACCAAGTACCAAACTGGCACCGATAAACTCAGGTCTGTGGCTCACTGTTCTTATGTGTGGATAGTGTTCAGCACCAAGGACAGGCCTGTTCTTATGTGTGGATGGTGTTCAGCACCATGAACATGCCTGTCCTTTGTGCTGAGTATATCCTACACATTAGAACACACCTATCCTTGGTGCTGAACACTATTCACACATAGGAACAGGCCTGTCCTTGGTGCTGAACACTATCCACACATAGGAACATGCCTGTCCTTGGTGCTGAACACTATTCACACATAGGAACAGGCCTGTCCTTGGTGCTGAACACTATCCACACATATGAACATGCCTGTCCTTGGTGCTGAACACTATCCACACATAGGAACATGCCTGTCATTGGTGCTGAACACTATCCACACATAAGAACAGGCCTGTCCTTGGTGCTCAACACTATCCACACATATGAACATGCCTTTCCTTGGTGCTGAACACTATCCACACATAAGAACAGGCCTGTCCTTGGTGCTGAACACTATCCACACATAAGTACAGGCCTGTCCTTGGTGCTGAATGCCATCCACACACAAGAACAGGTCTTCCCTTGGTGCTGAACACTATCCACACATAAGAACAGGCCTGTCCTTGGTGCTGAACACTATCCACACATATGAACATGCCTGTCCTTGGTGCTGAACACTATCCACACATAACAATGGGTCTTCAAAACACTAAATATTAGCTAAGCCTTGACTTTTGAGAGATTGACCACACTCAAACTTCAGTAGAGAATTAACAACTGCTTTATAAACTGTAAGTGGATAACAAACTCACACAGTCAATGGCAAGAGTATCAAAGTTTCAGTCAGTCTAACAATTCTGCAAATTGAATGTCAAAAATTGATACATTTCAAGGCCTTTAAAAGTGCCCTTGGGTGTAGCACTAAGTACATATTCCAAGATTTTTTCATCTTTATGCAATATAGGAAGGAAACCTAGAACGTTATATCAATAGAGGCAAAACCGCAGGGAAATTTGTACAGAGTATTGGCTTCAGCGTTGGGAAATGAATTTGTGGCCGTTTGAAGGATGTTGAACATGTCAGACTCAAAGCCAAGGTCAATCTTTATGTATTACGCAAAGGCAGTTTCAGTTGGTATTTGAATGGAATGGCATTTCACTCCCTCTATAGATTAGGGAAGGTTTGTCTGTTTTTAATATCATTATTATGTTTACTGGAGGAAAACATATCGTTTTCGCACTGTTTCCTCTTCTTCTCCAAATCAGTAAGGTTGATGACCTGAACCAGACTGTCTGTTACCATAGTAAATAGTGTTGGGTTACATCATGTTGCAATTTTATAGCAGAGGGATTTAGACTCCTGTCTAGTACTAACTAAGTGGAAACAACACTGTCCCATTGTATATTGACATTCATGGAGCAAAAATGCCCAAAATTCTAACAAAAAATGCTTACTGGAAGTCTGGATTGATTTTTAGGGTACCATCCAGAAAATAAAGAACTAATCGTGGGGCTTGTTTCTGCAGTTTTAAATTCCTAAAGTGTGAAATACTGATTCAAATGTGCTAATGTGGGATACTATGTGTCGATATCATAATTTACAGATTGTCTTATTCAGAATATTTCCAGTTTTGCTACCCTGAAATTGTATTGGATGCATTTAATGTTCTTTTGTTTGTATTCCATACATTTCAGACCAAACTCGTTTGAAGTGTGGGGAGGGGACGGCGTAACGTCAGCCGTGCTTCACTGCAATGACGTCACGGAAGTCACGGACTGGTGCCGCGTCGTAACCGCCGCCATCGCAGCTGCTAACGCGAATTTCGTAAGTACCGCCCCGGGGTTAACACAACGCAGCCATAACCATAAATTCTGCCCCGCAGTAACATCTGAGAGCTTGTTTCAATAGTATGGAGTGATTAAAGTCATATAGTAGAAAGGTAATGTTTACTTTACCATTGCCGTAGGCTTTGGCCTCGTTCATGATTCAAATGTGTTCCGGTTTGGCCACGATCCGTTTCGAAACGGAATATATTTTAAATTTGCGTCCGTTATTCAAAACTTGCACCCACACTGGAAACGCTTTCACACCTCGAATTGACTTGCATTTCATATGTATATCAAAATTTCTTTGAACATTTCCTGGGAACCCGGCTCGTAAGGCAGAGAGTTTATGATCCGCGCGTTCATGATTACAATTCTACGAATGCAAATCGTTATGCACCGTTTCAGACCACCTCACGAGGTGGTTCAAAATAAATCGCAACGGAACCGGTTTGGAGCGTTCATGTTCCCAAATCGAATCAATTCGTAACAGATATCCAATCATGAACGGGGCCCAAAGCTTAGGAATCCATAAACAATGCTGCATCCATTTTCTTTGGCATTTGGCATTCTTCTCAGATCTGTGATTTTTATGCTAACAAATGTCAATGTAGATTGTTAATGGTGTCAAGCAATTTTATCTACTGGATAATTTACGGTTTTGCGAATGTTTCAAGTATCAGCTAAGAGTTTCTTACTGTATTAAGCTGCTTTCAGTTAAATGTTTTAGCAACATTTTAGATCTCTCGTTGATGGACTCAGAGGCTTGATCCTATAATATCAACCTTCTCCCTGCTGCTTGACCCCATAACCTATACAAAGCTGGTGTAAAATGGCTACCTTCGTATGCCTAGGACTAAAGGTTAAAACAATCTATCTGCTAAAAAATATCACAACAGCAAGACTCAAATCCTTCTGTAAATACCACATTCCTCGCAAACAATCTTCCCAAAGGTACCTAGTACACACCAAGTAATTTTTATGGAGACCCTAAATCTAATGCGAGATCACAAAAAAAAAAACACGAAGGGCCCAAAAACAAGATCCCAAGATTTGAAATGTTATAACTAAAGGATGAGAAATGTTAGGACACAAATTGAGAGAGAGAACACGGTGTAACAACCAACAAGTCTTTTATTCGTCACGAAAGCAGAAAAAGCAGTGGAACAGCAGTTGTCGTCTTGTCCTGTTTCTTTCCTTTCATCACAACTTCCAATCTTGCGATTTGTGGCACTGTCGTGACTCTTTAGTCATAGTTACAGGAAGCGGAATTCCTTGTTTTCTTTCTGGGAACAGGCCAAAGTCAATGCACGTGTGGACGTCATCCATAAAACTTACTCGGTGTGGCCTTAGAAGAAAATACTTGATATGTAGGACATACAGTGCATGTTACTGGGTCATAAGGCCACACCAATTTAATTTGTTGGTTCTCGGATTCGCCTCTTCGTTTTTTTCTGATTTGCAAAAAAAAAAAAAATATGATTCTGGTTCTGAATCAACTGAAAAATGCTCATGTTTTGCCCCCAACAGTTGAGGAAAGTCCTTTTCTTCATAGTTGTTACAGTTTTCCCATCTATCATTGCAGTGGTTTGATTAAAAGTTCAAAATTCAATTTAAATTTTAACCCAGCCTTTTGTGTTGACTTCATGGCTCATTTCGTAGCAATTTTAAGCCTATAATAGGATGCCTAGACCTGTTTTTATTTTTATTTTTTTCGCCCTGTCGCTTCATATTTTTTCTGAAAAAATCCGAGAACCAACAAATTAAATTGGTGTGGCCTAAGCATGGAATATCATCAGCTATACATGTACATATAGAGATGAAACAGTAATAAGGTCCCAGAATGGTTTTCCTGGCCCAGACGATGAGCTATTACGCTACCATTTTACGCACCGAGAGACACTTTGATGCCATTACGAGGCTTACGGGACCACTTGTGGTTGGCGTCGATGGCTTTTTACTGAGTTATTATTGGAGAATTGTACATTGTACATTTTCATGGACTTTGCAGGGGTACAAAGAAGCACTTTATCATGTAGCATTGTAGCAATTATTGTAGTCATTATTAGTCTGCCTGCAAAAGTAACAAATTTTAGTTCAGGAAATTCTTTTTGCTTAACCTTCTCCCTGCTGCCTAAGGTTAAACTCATAGCTAATAGAGAATTGGTAGCCACACAGATACTTAAAAGTATGCTAAAGGTTAAACCATTGGATCAAAATCTTATGCATTCATTTTGTGAAGAATCTCACGGTTTCAGAGTCATAGTACATGGAACATTTTTGTGTGCTGGAACAAAATGGTTAAACATATAGCCCAAGAAAAATAAGGACTAGAAAGAAGTCCTACATCCATTTATACAGCCTAACTAGAACACTATATAATATTAGCTTCGTTTTTGTATCTAAAGTCTAATTCTACTTTATTATATATAAATAATTGATATGTAAATATTTTATAGCTTCATCCAAACTTGGTATTATGAGTAGCTCTCCATGCTTTACTAAAATTGATGCTGTCATACAGTAGGTATTTTGCAATGTGCGTCACACATTCCATCTTTGATACCATTTCTTTACTTCAAAAACACCATGGCTAGCAATGAACTTCATCCAAATCCAACATCAATACTGCGAAAATCTCTTTAATAATCCTCTCTGTGTCACTGGGGCAAGCCAATATTCTCTCTAGATCCTTTTTTCTGAGAAAAAGACTGAGCCAAAAGCTTATATAGTCACCACCCAATTTAGTTGCCACCAAATACTTCTCTGTAATTGCTTCAGGCATAGTCTACATGTGATGTTAGAGAGATATTAGGGAACCAAGCAATTTGGTAGCTCGACATGCACAGAGTACATGCCCGTAGCCCTGGATTTTGAATGGGGGGGTTCTTCCCACTGCTTGAGGGGACGGCGCGAGGTTCCTAGGGGGGTCCGGGGGTATGCTACCCCGGAAAATTTTGAAAAATGAACCTTCTAAAGTGGCATTTTGTGCATTTTTGAGAGGATTTCCAAGAAAAAATCAGAGATAAATTTTTATTCAATGACGAAGGGATCAGTTTTTCTACGTTTGCAGTCCATCTTTTCAAGAAAAATCTTGGCCCTTTACATAAAAAGGAGACCAAAAAGTGGACCTTTACATAAAAAGTGGACCAAAAAGTGGACCTTTGAGCCTTGTGGGGAGGTTCTTCCGAACCCCCCGAAACCCCCCTGGCTACGGGCATGGAGTAATATCATTCCTTGCTCTTTGCAACTACTTAGCAACCACTGTGCAACCAAAGATTTGAACAAATTTCACAGATAAAGAACAAATTTTTGTACATTATCATTGTTCATTATCTTTTGAATCAACGAGTCAGACCTATTTTTACGTCATCATAATATTATTCCATTTACGAAACCAAGGAACACAAGCATGGAATTTTGGTTGTTGTACGGTTTCTCAGCGATTGCAAAAGTTGACCTTAAGGTGTCCTCCCTGGCTAATTTGGCATTTTAAGTTTCCATCGTTTTCTCAAAAAGAAATTTAGAAAGAACTTTAGTTGTACTGAATATTGATACCTGGGTACAAAAGGGTTATGAAATGATTTTATGGACCTTATGGATGACGTCATCACATTTCATTGCCCCAAATGTAATTATCTTTAAGTTATTAAGTTATAATATAGCACTTTGGTACAAGTAACTGAAATAAAAGTATGATTTTCATGTGCATAATGGTCAAAGCTACAAACCTACGTTTGCACAAATTGATATCTACTAATTATCCGTAGTTATTAGAGAATAACCTAATTGCCTAATTAAAATCTAGTTATTCTCTAATAACTACGGGTGCTGTGTACATGAACGTACATGTACATGTATCCCTCTCATACATTGCACGTTGGCAGAATGTACTGCGCCTGTGCGAAATCCTGATTTTTTTACGGTTTTTAATGGATTTTTGGTCAACATTGCACCAGAATTTCGCCTGTTGTAGACAATATCTTTTCCTACAGTTGGAAAGTGGGGGTGATAACCTTATATGCGCGAATACAACCTTATATGAGACGTTCTGCCAAAGTGCTATGTGCAGGTTTTGAGCAGGTGCAGTACGTTCTGCCGACGTGCTTTCATGATCATACACACACTCACTTGTAACTCACTAATGCAACACTGCATGGAACACGTTGCTGTAAGCCCAGGCATTACTCAAGACTGACCTCAATACAGGCTGAAACATTTGTTTTGCGACTCGGGCAAGCGTTCGTGTCTTTGAAGTGGGTTTGAAAGCAAACTGTAAGTCTGACTGATTTTTCACTGCGTAGATGTCAGAAAAGTTCGCAAGCACGGCCATCTTGTAAGTGCTTTCATCTTTGAAATTTGTGGAATGTTGCTTGCATGATGAAAAAAATAATTTTTATTTTTATTTTTATCCTTTTCTGTTACAACAGAAACCTGTACTTTGAGGGGAAAATTTTGCTGATAGACTAAGCTATCTCTTTCGAATATCTGTACACACCGATTTTTGTCCGTCAAAAATGACAGGTTTTGGACAAAATTTTTCTGTCATGATATGGGCGACAAAATGGATGGACATACGCTGGCTAGAACACTGTGCTTCTATTATTAATAATCAACTGCTGGTGTGGAGATGCTTTTGACACATGTCTACAGAACTTTACACACATGGTTGACCTATTTTCTGACCAAAAATTTACATTTTTGGCCCGTGTCCTAATGTTACAACCAAATGACCTGAAATTTGGTGTGGGGGCGCTATTTGCATGTGCCTACAAAGCATTGCACACACTTTTGGCAGACGCAGAACACTGTGTTTCTATCAATCGACTGTACCCTTGCTCTTACTGACAAACTGAATATACATTGTAGTTGTCAAGACCATTACCCATCTACAGCTACATGTACAGTCTGTGCTTTTTCAATCAATACAGTCAGAATGTATTGATACAGAGTCAACCCAATTAACACACAGAGTCACCTTAATGGCTGTAGAAGCTACAT